ATATATATATATATATATATATATATATAATCTTTTACAAGAAAAAAATACATAGCAATTTTCTTTAAAAAAATACGAATATTTCTAAATAATGATATCCAAGTACCTTTATCATTATCACGGAATACTGCGGTTTTTACACTTCTTGTATGTGCATGAAAATAATTAATTTGTTTTATCTGAGAACTACAAATATCCCATAAGCGCGCTGTGTGATCTCCCGATGCTGTAATTAACTTTTGTTCCCCAGGCATCCAAGCAATATCAAAGATTGCATTATAGTGTGCCTTAAAAAATATATATATAGAAATATTAATATATTTCCACCTTCAAGAGGTCTCGTTCAATCTGATAATCAAGATAAACCTGTTGTCCTTCTAATGGTTGATTATATTTATTCTTAATCCTAGTATTCTGAAAGGCAACTTTCCCATCCTCGTTTGCCAAGGCAAGAATCTCCTCATATCCTGGCGTGGTGCAGAAATGGCATGCAAATACTGGTGGATCAGGATTGTAGTCAGCTGTGTTTAAATTTGGACTTATTCCATGGTATACGTCATTGTAGTAGCATTTCAAGCGATGAAGAGCAATATCATAATCATGTATTATTCCTGCAAAAGACAAAGGATATATGATATATCCTATATAGGATATCATTAAAATTTAATAGAATATGATTGCAATATAGAGATAAAAGTTATTTTCTAACAACATTCCAATCTTTTCTAGTTACAAAATAATAATCAAATAATTATCATAGTTATATATTATTAAAATTTAATAGAGATAAGATAGATTGCAATAACAATATGCTAACAGTTCCTCTTCAATTTCTTACAAAATATATTACTTTCTTACAAAATATATTATAGTATTCCATTTTCTAATATTTCATATATTATAACATTACAAATACTTTTGTAAGAATCAGATTTTATTTTAAAAATTTGATACATTACAAATATAAAAATAAAAACAAAAAGTCAACAAAACAATGAAATCACAAATGTACAAAAATTTCAAAATAAAATACAAATTCTTAAAGTTCCATGAAGTTTTATAAAAAATGATTAAATTACATTTAATTATATATTTGTTACTTTGTAAAATATTTATATCATAATTGACAAACAATATTACAAATATTTCATTGATTCCTAATAACACATTTCAGAAATAAATTAAATAATACTTTATCTTTTCAAACAATAATTTAAATTTTTTATCATTTGTTTCCATTTTCTTCTTATGTTACAGTCTTGTAGTATCTGCAGTTAATGTTCAATTTTTGGTTAATTCTAAAGAAAATTTTTAATAGATTAATTGCCAACTGTAACATGTTGTAATTCAAAGATAATATTAATTGCATAATAATGAACAATATTTGAAATAAAATATTTTTTTCTCTAATTATAAAATTTCTAGTTATACAGAATATCAGTAAAATTTAATAAAAGTAACACTGAATTACATCTTAATGATAATTCTTCCAAATTACAAAATTAATTTAGCTTATTGCGACCAGATAACCTACGTTCATATAAAATATATTCATTTAAATCTTTTATAAGATATATGTATTCATATCTATTCACCAAATCCATATTCCCGTCGTCGAATAGCATCTGTTATATTCATTTTGCATTGACATTAATACACAATTCCGAAAAGAACACTTTTATTATTATCGCATAAAGTTGTTTACAGGCGCCAGTTGGCGTTTACAGGCGACAGTGTATAATGGCTCTTGCCTACAAGCGCGTCATGAGTTACGCGCGACTAGAAGCGACGCGTTAAAAAAATTCGTTTTTCCTGTGATCACACAAAACGCGCAAGAATTTAATAAACGCATGCGCAATATGTTTTAAGGTTTTCTACATTAGTCCCATAATCGTAGGATAAGAAATTGATCATAGTTAATTTTATAATACTTTACTTACGATTATAACCTGCAAGATTTATGAGATTATTGTGAGATATGCAGCAGAGCCAGCAAAACTCAAATGGCGGTCACGAGTTCTTAGTTACGCGTTCCCGGTTCTATCAGAGTGCGCTAGTAGCAATGAAAAAATTATGTTTACTCTCATAAATACAGAAAAATTCTATGGTTCTACTGGTTTATCGTCAATTTTATTGTTTATTAACGGTCACTGTGAATTAACAGTTACTGCAAAATATTCATTTTGAGTGTTTAATAGTATTTCAGTGTTAATGTTGTTGTTGTTGTTGCAAACTTGTGTTTTTGTTGCAAACAAGAACGAGGTGGATCGAGTCGTTTCGTTGCGGATGTAATATAAATATTTTAATACTACATTTAATACTACATTTTTAATATATTTAATATTTTCTTTAAAATGTAAAAATTTTATTTTGCTTATTTACAATAAAAAAATATAAAAATATAAATAAATAATAATAATTTTTATATATTTTTAAACGTATGCTATTTTTTACATATTTGTGTTCCTTTTTCAAAAATAATTTAATTTTTTATTTTGTAGTCTAATAATTAATTTTATTTTATTATTATGTATGTGTAAATATGTATATTATATTTTATTATATTATGTTTTTCTATTATTATGTATTATGTATAAAATATTGTATTTAAAAATAATTTCTTAATTTTAGTTATATGTATTTATATAACTATGTACAACATATAAGTGAGAAAAGAAAATTCAATGTAGAATAACTTTATTTTATATAGTTTAAATTATTTTTTTCAATCATATATTTATGTATATATATATATATATATATATATATATATATATATATAAATCATAAAATATTGCACTCCACTTTTAAATTAATGTTTTTTTTTATATTTACGCATTTATATATTGAGCAGTATAACTGACGCTAAAAAACCGCCATATTGTTGATAGTGCAAAACCATCATGCGCGTGAGACAATTATTAATACACTTTTTGAGTAGAGTGAACCTACTGTTCTTTCTTATACTGTACCCTTATTACTGTACCTGACACAAATCGACACAAGTATCGTTCTATCTTTCTTGGCTTTCAATGATTAATAAGAACAAAATGATACTTGTGTCAACTTGTGTCATTAAATGGAAAGCCCATAGTATACCAAGACCGAGTGTTGAGGAGTGAGAGTTGATGCTACGTAGAAAAGGATATACTTTGTTTAAAGTATGTGCAAGAAAGATACACGTCCTCTCTGCGCATGCGTTGAAATTGACACTAGTTACTATAGGCAATATATAGGGCAATATATAGGTACGTTCAGAAACACCGAAGTCGAGTGATCGTGTATCATTTCGTGTATCATTTTATCCTTGTTGTTCATCGAATGTTAAATAAGAATAAAACAATACACGGAGTCATTCAGGTAGTGTTTTCGAACATAGCCATAGTGTGATGTGAACAATAGGTGACAAGAACTGTCATAAATAATATTATATAGGGATAATAGTGAAATGTTAAATAAATATTAATATATATTAATAATAATAATAATAATAATAATAATAATAACAACAATGACTTAGTTTACACCCAGCCATTCAATCCCGATTCATTTCGGAATGAAGTAATATTTCTTAAGTGTAAATGGATTAATTTAGATCCACTTTAATTTTCTTTTCTTAGCAGAGTAATTTCAATCCGATGTTCCCTAAATCCACTTCATTTTGAAGTAAATCGAGATTGGACGGCTAAGTGTAAAAGTTAATAATAATAATAATTCAGTATTTCGCTGAGCGAAATAATCTGTAATAATATTTATATTAATATAACTTTTCTTCCTTTAAACTCTGTTTAAAAAATTATTAATTTTTTTAACGATCTCGACGATAAAAAATAAAAAATGCAAATTTATGTTAAAGTTATATTGCCACAAAAACTTGAAAATTTGAATACAAATTAAATGATTAATATATAAATTAATATATAATAAATATTTTACATATTTTATATTTTATATAATAAATATAAAAAATTAGATCAGTTTGTTGTACCTTTTATTTATTAAATTAATTAATTACTGTGTTATTACTGGTTGACCAATTATTTAATTTTACATAAAATACTTATAAAGTTGTTGGAACCAAAACTTCTGCAATGAAAATCATGTTAGTGCCACGGCGTTTTCTAATTGATTACGTCAATCCCCACTTTCGAGTGCCCCCCGTTTTTCCAATGTTTTTCCAGAAAACCATGATATTAGTTTCACTCTTGTTCGCTTAAAGAGCCATAAACAAAAAAACAATAACATATTGCATAGAATTCCTCAAATAAGAATACATTCACATGTAGAAAAGCTATCAGATATTGAATGTGGTGTGAATCTTTCATAAACCTTTTCATTAATAGGCCTGTTCACGTTGTTTATATTTTTTGTACTTGAATTTTTCCTTTTTTCTTTCTCTATCAGCCGCAAATATATCTATTCAGTTTTAAGTATCGAATTTTGGGGGATGCAAGCAAACGCGAACAAATCTAAAATTATATCAAACTAGAGAGATTGAAATTGAGATTAGATTAGAATTTAACCAATCAGACAAAAAACCAATTTCAAGTTTAATGAACTTTGTTCGGATTGATTACATTCCTACCCAATCTCGATTTCCATCTTTAAAATGCGGTCAAAGTTTTGCTACAGATGTTTCGAAACATTTGATTGACTAATTAGAAGAAGAAATTTTATCAATTGATCAATTCAAAAATGCTTTAAAACATTTTTTAATTTATAAAATTTTTATTCTGAGTATCAATCATGTAACTTTTCCTTTTTTATGGTGAAAATATAAAAAGTGAAAAATTTTTTTATTATTTTTAATATAGTAAAAAATATAGTAAATATAGTAAAAAATTTTTACTATATTTTTACTAAATTTTTTACCTTTCTAAAGAAAAATTACCTTGATCGTAGACATTTATATTTGTATTTATATATTACACCGCTAACTTGTCAAATACATGGTTCCGAAAAAGCATGTATAAAACTCATATGCATGCGTATGAAGTAAAAAGAACACGCATGCGCATGAAATCCCATATATGCTATATAGAACCGACCTCACCAATTCTGGTTAAGTTAAACAGCGGGTTAAATTTGAGAACTGCCAACTGCAAAATAAAAACTTTCATTTCTAACCTAATTTCTTTT